ATCGATGAGGTAAGTTCTAACTGCACAAGACGCATTTGACACACACACTGACTTTTACTTCTTTCGCAGTGGGTTCCGCCACGATCAGATGCTCGCTATCTGAATGAAGGCATTCCGGAATTCAACGAGCAAGAACGTCTAAATCGTCGTGAAGTCTACCTCAAGATCTGGCGACGCGACAAGACCAGTGCGCAATGGAAGCTGGAAACTCGCATCGACGCTCCACACTTCTTCGAGGACGTATGCGGCAACGGACGAGTGTTCCATCTTGTCGCTGATCCTGCTGCTCCGGGCTTCGCGACTGTTGGTGAAGACCATGTCGTACGGATCTGGAGGCCCAAGACACGATCACGGGACGGAGTCATCGTCCGTGGGGCTCAACAGGAAGGTCTAGTCACCTGGTCACTCGACCGGGCAGTTGAGATCAATGACAAGCTCGACATCACCGAAGGCTCACAACAATCTTTACCACCGCGCACTTCCCGACTAGCCTTCTCATCCGATGGCTCCGTCCTTGCTGTCTCAATCTCTTGGGATTTGGATGAAGATGCTGGTGTCACGCACCTGATCGACACTCACTCTGCAACCATTCGACGATCACTTACAGAGATCGATGTCACAGCTCTTTCTGGCCTTGGATTTGTTGGACAACATCTGGTAGTGGTTGCTGATGCGATCACTGTCTGGGACATGGTTTCGGACGCACTCGCGTACAGTGCCCCGATAGAAACCCCTGGCATCGGACGGCTGGAGCGCGTACCGCTCGTTCGACTAGCTTGCAACGAAGTCGATGGTACATTCGCCGTCTCACTTCCTCAATTCGAGAAGAGGACTTCGTCGAGGATCTCCATCCACAGCCCAGAGCACCAGAAGGCAATTTGGAAAGATACATGTTTCAGCATCACGCTCGGACTCGCATCCCGAACAAGCGGGGGCTACGTTGTTCTTGATTCTAGATCGTACTTCAGGACAATCACTCCTAGCGCTGGATCGTTACAGCTGCCGACTCCCCCGCCAGAGGAACACGTCGGCAGGCGGTCCATCGCCTACCCAGTAGACGAAGAAGAAGAGGCCGGTAGACCTTTGGCGAACCTCTTGGTTTCTGAAGATCTTACTCAAGACATTGAGCGCGACGAGCATGTTTTCAATATGCAGGATCTGCAGAATGTGCTGCATGACGGCTCAGTCCCTCCGCCACCGCAGGGTCTGTTCGACAACATTTTGGCGCTGATTGGCGGGAAGCCGCAAAAGGCAGCAGCATAGGAGCTGTATTGATGTACTATAGTCTTGATAAAATACCACGACATTGAGATGCGTTTGTTCATGCCGAGTGTACTGATGCGTTCGGTGCAGCTAGCATATAATCATGAGGACGAGGCCCGTCGGATAGGTGCACGAAGAGTCGTGACACTGCATGAGAAAGCAGAATGACTTTGGTAGCAAACTTTGACTACACATTTTCTCTTCTTTTCCCAAAAGCTGTATTTAAATACGCATGCCTCTTCCGCCTTCGACTAGCCAGTGCCCCTGAGCGTGGCCGCAGCCGCGCTCGCCTCACCGCCACACCTCCATGCTTCCGACTGCCGCTATCATCCTTTCCCTCTGCGTAGCACACCATTCTTGAGTCCAGTTGTTTCGACGGTATTGCCGAGCACCATGGAGCCTACGCGAACCTGTTTTGTCTAAAAAAAATAAATCAATTGCTGACTGCTCTAGGGGTACGCAAAAACAAATCGGAGGATACATCACGGTGTACCAGGCATCGCAAACCTCAAAAACAATGAGGGTTGCCCGTTCACGGAATCGAACCGTGGATCTTCGCATATCGAACATATGCTGCGTTACGAGTGCGACGCAGTACCACTGTGCTAAACGGGCGGACGTGGTTGACGAAATTGAAAATTATAAAATATATAACCATACGTTCGTGAGTTTGGAGGATGTCCCAGGCGGCTGGATGCATCAGCTGCGAACGATTTGATGGTGGGGCAATGCCGCAGCGGGATTACGTATCTTTCAAGCAAGCTCGGTTGGGGTTCCGCTGCTAATGCTGGTCTGGGTATGGCGTCTCGAGCATTGCAACACGACCTCGGAAGTCAACCATTGAATCAATCGAAACCTTTATGCCACTAAACAAACTCGTATTATGCTCATATCCAAGCTCTTCGTTGGAAAAAATTCGCCTTTACGCGTCTTTCTTTTCATCTGTGTGCTCGATAAGACAGACTTGCGAAGATGGAGCAATGGAAGGTGGGGGTGACTACGCCGCAAGCCTGCAGTTTCCTCTTCTACGAGACATAGGCAACTACATAAGCGCTGCAAGCACCGTCTCAGACTCTTAGTGAACTCGCAATATTCTGTGAGCTCTGTAGAACTTCGTTATCGCAGCATCGCATACTATGGTGGTTTTCAAAGAACGCCGAGTCAAAGCATAACCCAGAGGTCGAATATGATTTCAGCGTAAGTCGGAGAAGCTTCAGCGTAAGTCTGACAAGCAATATGCATCATGAGTCTTGAAAAGAAGCAACACTAACGTCTTCGTTATCAGAAACTTCATCATCGTACACGAGACTCACTTTTCAGGTCGGTAGCTAATGGATGCTATATATGTGTGTTGGTCTGGAGTCGGTTATCGAAGGCTGAACAGGAATACTTTCATGCCACGCAACCACGAACTCATGATGGAGTCTTAGTGGACGATACCGGCGCCGAGTCTTCGTGGGTCACTAAGATAGTTATGACTCCGCAATACCGAACGAACGGAGTTAGCTTCTGTGTAAGGTACGACTTGCCAAACTTTCCGAGGTTGTATCCAAAACATAGCCCTTTTTCGCTACAAGAAATGATCGGTAGGTTGATTAGCCGTTTACAATCCGGCAGAAACTAAGTTACCACAGATTACATACGCAGCCCGGAATTACCACCACTGGGCCGTGTCACCACTGACAATACAGGCTCAGATGCGTCCTTCCAGGTGGCTGCCAAATGGCTGCAAGATTGTAGTCAAAACCACAGAGACTGCAACGCAAGTAACGACAGGAGCTCCTGGTATCCGACGCGACTGTTAGATCTAGGACACTGCAACAATGAGATCAGCTGTGTATGGCTCATACATACAGCAGAAACGCCGCCATCGGGCCCCTACGCCACCCTCAGTCATTGCTGGGGAAGCGCAAAGCTGATACAGCTGACCACTGCAATGGCGCAAAGCCATCGTCCAGTATACCAAATCGATGATCTACCAAGAACATTCCGAGACGCAGTAGAAGCAGCTAAAAGACTTGGAATTCGGTATCTATGGGTGGACAGCCTTTGCATTATCCAGGGTGAAACTGAACACCAGGACTGGTACCGTGAAGCCAGCCTGATGGACAAAGTCTATTTCAATTCCTATTGTAATCTGTCTGCGGCGGATGCCAGCGACAGCACTGAAGGCCTTTTTCGGTTCCGTCAGCCTCAGTTCTGCGGGTCCATCAGCTTTAAGGCTGAAACTAGCCGTGCGGACCCGGATACCCAACCCGCGGATTATGTCTTGCACGAAGATATCTTGTGGAAACGTCACGTACTGGATGCAAAGCTTAATAGCAGGGGATGGGTTTTCCAGGAGAGGCTTCTCGCGCCACGGGTCCTTCACTTTTGTCGCTATCAGCTATTCTGGGAGTGTCGGGAACTTGGCGCTTGTGAAACGTCCCCAGAGGGGATTTCATCACGTGTAAGCCAAGGTCATGACATGAAAAAGCTCTGGCAAATAAAGGCCTCAAACGCCGCGGACTTCTATCTAAGCTTCTGGCATCGGCAGGTCCTTGGTCACTATACAAACATGGATTTGTCAGTACCAAGCGATAAGCTAATTGCGCTTTCCGGTATCGCCAAACATATAATGCCTCACAATGGGGACACTTACGTCGCTGGCATGTGGCGCAAGAGTCTTCGAACGCATCTATTTTGGATGACCATGCCTGATCCACGTACCTCCCGGTCTCAGGTATATAGAGCACCTACGTGGAGCTGGGCTTCTATTGATGGGCCTATAGGGTTTAGGAATTGCCCAGAAGAAGAGTGTTTAGTGCAAGTCGAGGATGTTTCTCTCCAATACGCGACGGAAGATATAACCGGTGCAGTGACGAGTGGATGGTTGGACTTGCGTGGCTCACTAAAGCCCATGAAACTGTGCCCAAAGGTCCATGTGTATGGGGTAGGTGAACAATTCGATCGTCCACCCGTAAATATGGCCGTGGTAGTCGACGGAGCATTGGTTTGTTCAAACGACATGAACGGTCAGGAGACTTGGCGAGATTTTCCCTGGCTACACTTTGACACTCCCCTGGTCACCGAGACTGCATTCAGCGATGACAGCGCGAGCGGCAATCTCTTCTTCATGCCATATCAATTAGAGCGAGACGTGCCTGGTAAACCGAAAGACAGGGATCCGGTCTCTTGCTTAATGGTAAGGCTTGTTGATGAGGAACAAAGGTTGTTTGAGAGGATAGGGTTTGTCGAGGCTAGCTCGCATCAAGGCAAAGACCAATTGCTGGTGGAGTTGGACGAAGAAACAAAAGCTCGTCTGCCTTGTCTCCGCTACGAGAACGGGCTTCATACGATCCGGATCATCTAGAACGCCGTCTAGCCCTAGCCAAGGCTATCATACAATCCTTCCAGACACCCTCCTCTTTCCGCATAAAGAAATCCAGATCCCGAGGTCCCTTTCTAGATCTCGATAGCCCGCCTCTGACGAGCACTTGGCCCAAACCGTGCTGATGTTCAGGGTTCAGTCAGGGTCTGGAGCGCTAGGAGGCGGGATAAGTGGGGCGGCTGCGCCTCGGCCACTCCCAATCATCTGGGCACGCGACAGCCACGACAGGCACTGTCAGCCGGTGACGTAGCGCGAGCTTGTTGTATATCACGATGCCAGCCTCCCCGCGGATGCAAGCCCGATACGCCAAAATCACTCGAATTTCATAGTTTGTCGATCAAATCCTACCTAACCTATCACATCAACCATGGCTACTAGCAACCAGTCGGCACAATTCCAGGGTATGTTTATCTAGTCTTGCGCTATTTCAACGGTCTTGTTGCTATTAGTTTGGCGATGAACAAGCGCGTATACCTATGTATGCTAACAAATTTTAGAGCCTCCTACGGATGGGCTTCCAGGGGCTACCAGCACCACCTCCCCTTCTGTCGACAGCACCGCACCCTCGCATGACAACATCGACTTTCAATTCCAAGGTTCGTGTCTCTCTACTCCATCATCTTGTTCGATCGTATGGCCTACTAGGCCCACTCGTGTAGACACTCAACACACAAGCTAACACGTTTTCTACAGAGCCGATTGTTCCAGGGACATCGACGTCCACTTCTACATCCACTGACGACAATGATAACTCGCTCCACAAGACCACGACCGACAAACTGAAGGACGCAGTGAAGAAGCCGTTTGGCAGTTCAGACAACTCCTCCGACCCTCACACGCTAGGCAAGAAGGAGATCACCAGTCCCGAGATGGCAGCTGCAAATGAGGTGCTTGCAGCGAAGGACCTCAAGTCGCCGTAAGCAAAATACTGGCTGAGGCAAGGGAAACAAAGAGGGATTTGCAGGGGAAGAAGCAATGGTGCCGCGGGAGCTGCAGACATTCTTTGTGCGCGGGACGAATGCGCAACGGAGTTACGGTATTTCATGACCTGGTTGGCAATAGTCACTTAATAGCAAATCTCTATTACGTCAAATTTCCCCAGCACCCTTTACTGACATATATGAAGGTCTCATAGACCACATCTCGCATTTCATAACACGAAGCAGTTGCACATGCGGACACGGGTACGTAGAATAACGACGTGTATTCGAAGTCAAAGTGGGTATGTACGAAGATACAAATATGCCTCAACCCTTCATCTACCCTCTCACCCAAAACCTTCTACCCATCTTCTGAAATCCCTACCCATAGAACGAAGAACGAAGAATTGAACACCATTCTGATGCTAAAAAGAAGGATGCCCCACCTCTCAGGCAGCAGGGTTTTCGTGCAATACGGTCTGATCGAGATTCAGATCACACTCATGTGGATGCTGAAGACAGTACTTGGGCATCAGCGGACTAGCCTGGACACCGGCTGCAACAAGGTACTCCCTGAAGTTGAGAATACGCTGCGTCAGTTCTGTGGTCCTCTTGTTGCCATTCTCATCCCTGTTTCCACTCCAGACAAGTTCTGCAAGCGCAGCAGCGCGCGGCCACATTTTCTGAGAAATGACGACAGAGTCGACTTGCTCGGACCAGAGAGGCGCGATGGCGCCTTGTACAAGCGCCTTTTGGGTGTCGGTGAGGTTGAGAGTGAAGTCGTAGTCGTAGATGCGCTGCCATGTCTTGTATGGTGCGCACCAGGAGCCACCGCCGCCGCCCCAGTTGAAGTTCGCTGAACCGTCTGTCGCATTGGGGTTGACCATGACGTTGTACCTCTGGTCGTTGCCTACCCAGCCTCCGTATCCACAGTCCAGGTACATGAAATCGGAGCTGGAAACAATGACGCGGTAGCCCTGTCCGGTAAGATTACTGATGTGGTCGAGACCGTTGTTCCAAGCTTGTAGGACGACGTCTTTGGGTACTACACCTGTAGCGGCCACGTCAGCGGAAAGCTTGACGTCTTCCCACATGACGAAAGTCTTGTTGGCTTGTGCACGGAAGTTGGGGATCGCGCGATCAACCCAGACTTGGTAGAGGTCGCCCATTGATTTGCCGCTGTTGAAGAATGCGAGGGCTGCAGTGGAGAAGTTGTTGCAGTTTGCAAAGAGCTCGTCACCACCAATGTGGAACCAGTTGTCTGGGAAGACCTGTGTCATTTCCTTGTACACTTTGGCTGTCACCTCGTAGGTCTTGTTGTTGAGGATGTCAAGTTGACCTGGGTTGGGCTCTACGCCTGTGTGCAGTGCGTAGTTGTCGTTTGACCACCAGCTGTGTTGGCAGGTAAGTAGGGACTCGTCGATTTGCGCCCAACCGGAGCTGGCGTGTCCTGGCATATCGATTTCCGGAATGATGCGTACGCCGCGTGCGGAAGCGTAGGCGATAACTTCCTTCAGCATATCTTGGGTGAAGATTTCGTTGGCTGAATAGGCGTCCTCGGTCATCTCAGGATACGCATTGATCTCTATGGCCCAGGACTGCGAGTCGATGAGATGCCAGTGCAGAACATTGAGCTTCGAAAGAGCCATTCCGTCGATTTGTTCAAAGATTTTGGCCTTGGTAATGAAGTTGCGGCCTGTATCGATCATGATACCGCGCACCGGATAGAGTGGCGCATCCTTGACAGCGACGGGTTGTTCGATGATCATCTTACCTGAGCCATCGTTGATCACAATTTGCTGGAGCGTGGTGAGAGCGTGGAGGGCGCCGTAGACAGTTCCAGCAGTAATATCGACAGTATCCGAGCCAGCTGCGACGTCGAGCGTGTAGGATTCATCAACACCATGTTGAAGCTCAGCGTGGGCATTGGAGACGTCAATTTTGACCTTCGTGATTGTGCCTGTGCAATTTCCGGGTGGTGCACTGTACTGCCTCTTGCGCTTTCTTGAAGCAGCGGTTGGGGTTGGAAAAGGCTGAAACGATGTGACCGAGGCTTCGGTGGCTTGCGGAATCCACTTCAGCTCCGCGATGGTCTTAGTAACGCGGTCGAACGCAGCGGAGAGCACCTCATGGTCCGGCGCATCGAGAGCGACAGATCCGAAAGAGAAGCAGCCAGAGTCGCCCCAGGTAATGTTTGTGGGTTTCGGGAGAGGGTTTGCAGCGACAGCTTCAACTTGTCTGGCGAGCAAGGCTGAGGCCGTGACCACGGAGGCCAAGATGAAATCGCGCATGGTTGTTCAACTGTTAGGATGCTACTTTGAGAGGAGAGTGGGAGTAACGACTGCAGGAAGAGAGTGGGTTCTTATGTTGTTGTTATAAATGGCCAACAACCATGAGTGGTGACGACGAACAGCGTTGACGGTGTACTTCGAAGTAAACTCACAACGTGGGGAGGGAAGGGGAATATCTATCAATTTCGCATTGAGTAGCTCAGCTTTGCCATCCTGGTTAGGCTATTCGCATCCCAAGCTCACAGATCAGCGACTGGGCGGTGCACTAACCGGGAAGTGCCCCTTAGCTGGTATATCAGAGCCAGTTAGTTGCTCAGCCTTGCTGCATATGCTGGCTCTCGACAGCCTCTGCTGCAACCCATTCCCGCTCTCACCAGACCGCGCCGCCCGCGCGCTCGCATCCGTACCGCATTTCTCTTGTGGCTGCTGCCGTGATGCAACGTACCCCACCTGCTTTACTTATCCTTGGGAGCATATACGAAGTGTGTGCCGCCGGTTCGACACTACGTTCTGTGTCCACGCCTTGGAATATAGCCATGGGGACCCTGCGCGCTGACAACCTGCAGCGAGTGCTGGGGTTGGCGTGACGGCCCCCGAGCAGGAGGCTAGAGTAAAAGTGGGTTCCCCACCACCCGACCGCGAATGGAGCCCTCGGAATCCGCGCTAAAACAAACGGCTGGTACCCCAACATGCTTGCCTCGTGTTACCATGACCTGCTCTTTCTGTTGTGACAAATTTGGCTTGACATTCCGGGGTGAGTGTGCATGTGGGAAGTCTGGTGTAACAGTCTCATACACGAGTGCAGTGGTGGTCATGGTTGTCGTGAGGAATGCAGCGACGACTTGGAAGGGTGGCGCTTCGGAGGTTTTGGTGGATCCGCGAACGCGTGGCGCCGTCCTTCTTCCTTCCGAGCTGCGAGCCTGTGCGGGCTGATGCATGAGGCACAGCAATCGGCTGTCGACATGTCTTATCACTCAATCTGCGTTGTTGGTGCGTGGAGACAATGTGGTCACTTGTCTAAGCCTGTAGTCATGGGCTGTTTCAATGTACCAATCATGACGCTTTTATTTCTAGCAATCAAATAAGCTTCAGCTTGCGCCCTGATGCGACAGCCACGGCTGGCGGCACTGCTACCGTCTCCTCCAAGATGACGCTACCATACCTATCCGCCATATCATTGCATAACTGTGCACCGTTTGCTCACCAGTTTCAGATTTTCCTCGGCATGGACTGGCGAAGACTACAATCGGGCCGTAAGCAAGGGCCAAATGTAAGACAACATGCAGGTACACGGGTTTGCGGATATGGATGGCTAGCTATTTCTCATGTGAAGGTGCACCAGGAGTAGAAGTAGAACCAGAACCAGAACCAGAACCAGAACCAGACGCAGACGCAGCCTCACCTACCGGCGCAACACTACGAAACCCAGTCACAACCTCGTGATGAAGCTCGCTTTTGATCTTGGCCCAATCCGGTGCTGGCACGCTGAGCAGCTTGCAAACGTCCTTCCGCCTCTTTCTGAAATCTTCATATAAGCCCTTCCATATCCGTCTCTCAGCGCAGGTTCCCTCGGGGCTGCCGCCACAATCGGGCTGCATCTCCTCTAACGCCTGTTCTGACCACATGACTGATGGGGGAGGCAGCGGCAGGTCGCTGAACTGGATGATCTTCCCCTCCTTGTAGACCTTCTCAGCGTCCCATGTCTCATCAGCGCTGCCCAGATACTCGGAATGATTGTGGCGCCTGAACTCTGCCGTACGAAGGGCGTAAGGTCGATGTGGAAGTACTAGCGCGCTCTCCTCAAAGCGTTCGTTGAGGATCTCCATGTCATATCTGTGCATTTCGACCAACATGCTATCACCACCCCCTTCCATGCGGTTCTTGAACTTCGCAAGCTCGTCGAGGCTAGGCTTGACAACCATGAGCGTCGTCGACAATGGCCACGGTTTGCTATCCGTCCAGTATGCCCGTGCCATCGCTATCGGCGTCTGAGGGAGGAGGAAGAGCTCATCGAGAGTGTCGAGGAGCGTGATCTGCGACTCTAAAGCGATTACGCGGTCGTAGTACTCCAGACCAAAGGCCATGAGCTTCGTGACGGTCTTGTCCCATACCCAGTCACCTGAGAACAGTCAGCCATATGCTTGTAGAGTCTCGCTTCATGTGCCGGGCGAATGGGCACTTGCGCAACGCATACCTTCTGTACGGCCTGCTACCTCAAGCAGCCTGATAGGATGAAGCTTTGCCTTGTATACATCGCGCGCTAAGTTGAGTAGTTGACTGTCTCGGTCCTGGGCGCTGTCTACTTTTGTGTCCCAAAACTCCGGGTAGAAGAGGACGCGGTCTGCCTTGCTACCGAATCGAGCGAGCGCGTCCAGGACCATCACGGCGTGGCATAGTTGGGTGCTGTCGGTCGCGTACACGCTGTACGCATAATTCGACCAATTGACCCTGATAGTATCTCCAGTATGAGGTGTCGTCTTGCGCGATGGATAGAGGATCCAGCAGATAAGGAAGAAGCCGAGGAAGTAGTACGTGTGGCGGCGTCGCAGGCGGAACGAGGGAGATTTAGCTTCGTCTATGAACCGCGGCAGCTCATCTGATCGTCGCCGACGCATTGTACGGTTGGCGTTGACGTTCGACCGACATGTTCGAGCGATTGTGTTGGTTGTTCAGGTGTCAGGAAGCGACTGGTGACGCGGAATCGCGGAAGTGTAGTGCGGAACTCCGAACTTCCAGGCTGCGACGCATTACGGCCTTGCATTGGCAGCTTTATATACTAGAGTGCGCACTATGTCCCTCTAGGTATAGAAATTAACACCGGGTATCTGTCAGAAAGGGAGGAACATGGCATATGTGTAAGATCTGTCATAGGATTATCACAACACGCATGAGACCGTTTTGATTCGACAAGATGCATTGTGTCATTGCCGTATGCCAGGGTCACTTTTTGTAGTATGGTATCAAACATCCCAAACGCCGCGGCTGTGCAAACTCCACCGGTCCCGGGACGGGTAACTCTGGGTGGGAGACATTGTCCTCATTCAGCTATGTAGCACCCTCTATGGCATATATCGTTCCATCGTGATCGTGAACACTTCTTGGTGCAAACGCTTACTCCTCAGGAACTGCGCTCTGTTAGTGATTGATTTTCGCAAATTGCCGAGTATAACATACTCTCAATCTCGCCAGCCTTGATGTCGTCAGAGACATCCTTGGGGCTACGGCCGTCAACCTTGCAGCCAGTGCTGAAGGCAGTTCCGAGAATCTCAAGAACGGTACCCTGCAGAGACTTGGCCATGGACTTGAAGCGCATGGTGCGGGCAATGCTGATGATCTCATCAAGGGGAACGCTCTTGGTGTGCTTGATGTTCTTCTCCTTCTTGCGGTCCCGGGGAGGCTCCTTGAGGGCCTTGATGACGAGGGAGGAAGCGGAGGGAACGACGGAAACGGCGGCTTGACGGTTTTGGATGGTCAACTTGACGGTGACACGGAGACCCTTCCAGTCACCAGTGGCCTTGGCGATATCTTCACCGACCTCTGCATAACGAATTAGTATTTCCATGCATATGCGCTGGTCGATAGGTTCGTTGCGTACTTTTGGGCGAGAGACCGAGGGGACCGATCTTGGGGGCGAGCGCGGATGAGGCACCGACTTCACCACCGGTCGCACGGAGGTGAATGACCTTCACCTCGGAGGGATCGAACTTGGGAGCTTTGGGGATGTAAGCGCATGGCGATTTCTAGGTAAGCCTGGCTGTGGAAGATGAGTGAACTCTCTGAGTGTCAAGAAACACCCTCCAATGGGTGTCCTAGCCACTCAAAAACTTCGCGCATCTTCGTAAGAGCCGACCAGAAGGATGATACTCACGCATGGCTAGTGCTTGAGGTAGTCAATCGGTTCTGGTTGTAAAGAGAGACTGCCGTTAATTTTGTCGGTTCGAAAGTTCGTGAGCAACGGATTCTCGGTGGGGAGCAATATTGGTCGACCTGTGAGAGAAGCGAGCCTTGGCAGCGCCTTCCCCAATGGGCGATAGCCTCTGTGTGTGCATCTCGGGCATCTCGGGCAACGCCGCATTGCTTCACATCTTATTCCACCACCACGTGAGTTGTTCTTCAAAATGCATGGAGAGAACATCTCCATGTCAATACATGATCGCTCTCTTGCTTCAACATCACACGTCCAAACCAGTGACCGACACGCTTCACATCACGCCATCCACGATGCCAGAACATTGCACAATGAGACAATGTGAAGATGCCCTCATCATGATTATATTCTGCAGTGACAAGACCTTCCTCTGATACAGGTCATTCGTGTTTATCAACCCCTTCATATACCAACGCCCACCAGCCAGCAACACGTGCACAGCCGACAGCAGCACGACAGCACAAACACCATGTACTTCACCAGATTGGCAATCAGTATGCACGAATAAAAGACCTGGTATCATGTTTCCTTCCAAAGACCGATAATCTTATTGCTTTCTCGTAACTGTCTCTATATCCAATTTCCACGGGAACAATAGCACAACACAGCAAACCATCGTCATACAGCCTCCCCACAGAAACATACACAGACGCTGTGAGAAGGCAATTCGCATAAGAGATCAGATCGACTTCCTTGTATGTGTGATTCAAAATGACTTTATACCTCGTGGAAATATTCTAAACACCGTGGAATAGACTCGACCCGAAAACGACAAGGACACTTCGAAGAAGAAGGATGACGAAACACCAGCGTCTGAATGTATTCAGGAAGAGTCAAAACCCGACGCTACCAAGTCTTCGCCTGATGTCGATACCGTAACCCTTAAATGGCCTCTACCCCCGTCCGCCATACACGACGGTCTCTTGTTCAGGAAAGTTGGATGATACAATGGGACATGCTGAGTTGCCTTGATACAATATCTTTATTTCGTTTCTCGCGCGCGCAAGCATGCGACTTCTATAAGCATATGAGGGTCCCGATTGAGGGAAATGTGTGCCATAAGAAAAGCTGGCAATATTTACTCTATGACCACCTGATATGACAACTCGCTGGTAACGCCTATCAATACCACAGAGCCAATAGCTATATCCAAAATACCTCAGTAGTGATTTTCTCCAGAGCATAATTCTTTCTCGAACAAATCATCACGCGCCTCGTCCCCTGGAGATGCCCAGTCCCTGAGCTGCGGGAGCATTCTTTTCCCTCTCACTCACGCTGCTCCTTCTCCCAGCGATAGCCGACACACTTTCGCTCCTTGAACTATCCATGCTCTGCCTCATGCTACTGGAGCTAGACCTGCGCCTAGCACGTCTCGCCTCGTCGGGGTCATGGGGATTCAGCCCGCTTGCTCTTGCGAACAAATTCAGGATATCCGTGAGACTGATGACGCCACTTAGTCTGCCGGATAAGCTAGCCCCTGGCATAGTAGAGATTGCTGATGCAGAGATAGCTGGGGCAACCGCTCCGGTACTAGCGAGGTGGGTCGGCGCAGTGGAATTGACGGGTGTTGGGCCGGCCATCCCTGGTAGTGGTGTGATTGGCGAAGGAGGAACAACAATCGCAGGTGTTATCGCTGGAGTCGATGGCCCTGATGAGGCCGGAGACGGCGCATCTACGACCCACATGCGATGCGAGCGGGTTGCGACTAGCTTGGCCACAGTGTGTGCGAGGGTACTGAATGGGTTGACGTGGAACACGGGGAAGGAGTCCTTGCCGTCATTCACTCCCCGTTCAGACAAGATGACAGATATAAAGTGAATACAGGATGAGCGAAGCAGTGGGAGAGATGTGGATTTGGTCAAGAGCTATGAACCAGCCGTTAGTCGCGTAATACGAAACTGAACAGAGGAGACTTACCCGAACATCCACATGGGATATGTTGCCAATGACGTTGTTTTGCGCGTCCAAGACTGGCAGCGATGACACGCCTTCGTTGTTCATGAGCTCCAGAGCCGCCGCAAGAGGCTTATCTCCACTAACATCCAGTCAGCTGTGTGATTTCTGCGAACCCGCGCTCTACTTACTTGATGGCTAGAACGGTCTTGGATCCAAGGTTCAGGTCTTTGATCAGCTGTGGGTACAGCTGGTTTACGCCTGGGAAGCTCGATCGGTTCTCCCAGAAGAATTGCACCAGTCTTAGCTGGGTAAGTATGCCCTTGACGTTCGATGTGCCTTCTTCTGCGACCAACACTCTATGTACGCCGCTTCCGAAGACTTCTATGGCCTTGGACAGATCTGTTGTCTCGTCGAGAGTAATCAACGGCTCCTTCCTGCCACCAACCTCTTTTACGTCTTTGAGCGGTATGGGTTTTCCTTCTCTTCCTTTCTGTGCAAGCTCGTCGAACGAGGCGATGTCGCCTTCTTCGGGGTGCGCGAGGCCGACTACGAGGAGGAGGTACGCGTTCAGGTCGCTGTAATCGAAGGTCCCGGTCGCATGCCGTGTGTTGGCGTCTTCGCGCAGGAGGACGACATTGGGGGCGCCATGTTTGACTAGTATCTATGCAAATCAGCCCATGCGCACGAAGATAGCTGTGTATAACCCACGCTCGTCGCATCCTCAACGCTGGTATCGTACTCGACGAACCTGACCAGGTCAGGATCGACAATCTCCCCCAGTCTGACGGTCTTCCAATCACGTCCCTGGAACTTTGGATCACCACCCTTGGTTGGTGGGTTGTTGAGGAGGTCTTGTAGCGCTTGCTGTGTCAGCGAAGGCTGCCGTGACGCGCGTGGTGATGTGGGCGTTCCTCGCATGTGCTCCGCGAAGCTCGAACGGTGGGACGATGCCGGGCTGGGGCTGGAGCCCAATTTGAGCGCAGTCGGAGGTGTGCGGCCGATGGAAGATACAGAGCTGTTGAGGGACGTGTCCTTGACGTCAATAGCCTCCGTGGTGTCGTGGTCTGCCATGGTGACGGCGGCTATGTTTTGGCGTATGCGGGGCTCCACACAAAGTGTTTGTCGGAACGCGCGGGTGCGGAGGTACTTGTATGCGCGTGATGGCTAGATGCTCTGAATGGTCCTGTCGCAAGAAGACGAGCAGTCGCGCGTCTTGCAGCTTCAAGTTGGGCTGAGTGGTGTTTGCGGCATGTGAAGTGCAATGAGGTGGGGAGGGCTTGCCTGCAGATGCAGAGCCCAGAAGATCGTCTCCTGCCTGGCCAGGGCACTTGGGCCGCAAGCTGCAGCCAAAATGCGGGGTGTGATTCGCTGCGTACCATTACTATCAACCGTGTTGCCCAAGATTGCGCATCGACTGACACAGCCTTGCGGGGTTACAGACGCGTCCGCGAGTGACGGCGGCGGACGGGTGCTCCAAGCCATTCAATCGCGTGAGCGACGTCATACTGAGGTATAGAGAAACCGGGGAAGCACGCCCGCCAACCGCGCAAGGGGTCCAAGGCTCTAAGCGGTGGTCAATCATAATAGCATTGCATTCATAAAAAAAACACTTGTTCGCAGCCCTCAGGCTGGTTGATTTCCGCCCATACTAACATCCTGAACAATTGTCAAGGAATAGCCTTCCGTGATCCATCAGGGTTTTGCCCAACGCCCGCCTCAAAGCATGACTCGAGTGAAACAAGAAACATTTCCCTAAGCGTCCTTCTGCTGCTCATAGTCCATGCCAGCATCTTTGTCAGCTTGACGCTGCGCCATACGCTCGCGAATGGCGTCTCCTGAAGTAGAGTCTCCATCACGGCCACTGGCGGGGGGCGCATGGCTCGCTGTGTCGACGACGTTGTCATCATAGGTCATACCGTTCATCATGCGTGCTTCCTTCTTCTGTTGCTCCGTGCTGGACATGGTCTGCGTCGAACCAGAACTGACAGGCACGCTGACGCCGGACATTGGACTGGTCGGCGTCTGTTCTCGCAAGTAGCCCGGCAGAGCGCTTGCCTTTCCAACAGCAGGGCTGCCGAGTTGACTATGCTGCCGAGCTGGTGTGCGCGCACCCTCGCCGAAGCCGACTAGAGAGGCGGCTTCGTCACTGAAGCCCCCGATGCTTGATGTGTCCATGTCCTGGTCCTCGCTCATGCGGTCCGGCTCGTAGACATCGCTGCCACTTGCCCACGTCGTGCGACCGCCAACGGATCCGGTTGCGCTGGCACTACCAACCGTGCTACGCTCACGGAAGAGCTGCGGTTGGTTGTTTGCGTCAAAGTAGCCTGGTGGAGGATTGGCGGCGCTGCCTGGGTTGAGTCCTTGGGGAGTGCGGCCCGAGACTGCAACGCGCTCGAGACCGGCCAGGCGCGAGATGCGGTCGGCACGCTCAGCTTCAGCAGGGTTCCGGTGGTGGGGGAAATGACCGCGATGTCCGTCTTTGATGGCGACAGTCGAGAGCTCAGACATGGTCGTGGTGACCGAGTTCGGGGTACCTCTGTGTATACAGCGTCAGTCCAACTATTTCAATGAACCCCACCAAGCGCATATGCCTTACGGAGCATCACCAGGCGTCTCGTCGCCAGACGGCGGAGGCGGCAGGTTGATCAAGGTGGGCGCGTTGGTTGCCATTGTAGATTGTGTGGTCTGGATTGGTTCTTGCTATGTGCTGTGAGTGGTGGATGGCTCAGGAGAAGTACAGTAATGTTTTAGGAAGTCTGGTTACAAGGAGCCCGGGCCCCGTGACGAATGACGTAGCCGACGGACTGGTAGCGCTTCGAACAAAGCAAGGGCAAGGGGGCTGATCACGCCTTCTTGTAACAGATTGAATGTCTTTACGCGATCGACACTCAGCTTAGATATGTAGTTTAGACTGACTTGAGTCAACTTGAGATAGTCTCGCCGCCTCACTCTTGGGCCCCTTTGGCCGTTGGCTAGGCGTTTCTTGACGCAGGGTCTTCTTGCCCTAAAATTTACCGAGCCGCTGATTCGCTACCAGGGCAGTGGTTGCTTCACTATCGCCTCTTCACCTGGCTGTCCAGCGAAGTATCTAAGGAACGTGCTTCAATTCCGCTACCACGTTATGCATGCCCAGGTAATGAAACAGCTGCAATATCCTATATACACAGAGCCCCACTGCAATATCTCATACACTTTAACAACCCAACAATCTACATAACTGTACAATTGGTCGCGGGCTTGTCTGTATACTTGTACTTGTAATGGCTCTTGTGCCTCCTTCTCTTTCGCCTGCCATCGCAGTATCCATTGTAGTCGCTGGCATAGCCATCGTCGTAGGCACCAAATCCGTTGTCGTACATCATCGGTTCATGCATAACCATCCCTGAGGAGCCCATCATCGGTCCGTTCGTGATCATCGGAGCATGCGACATCATGCTTTGAGGGCCATAAGGGCCAGTGAGGCGGTGGTCATAGGTAAAGCCCTGATTCATGGGAATCATAGCACCAGACATGGGTCCAGAAGTGATCGCTGGGCCTCCCCACCCACCAGACATGAACGGCGCGCTGCCCCACTGACCCGGGATCGCGTAGTTGCCACCAACGTGGTTTCGAAGCATCTGGTTACAACCCCAAGGTCCTTGAACCATTTCAATCGTCTCTCGATCTGCAAATCCGCCGTTACAAATAGGACAGGTGTATGGCGGTGCAATTAGTGTCTGATAGGTTTGGCGGTTGGGGCAATTGAGGAGATCAGAAAGAAAGCCGCAAGGTTGGCTCATGGAGATCCAAGAATGACCGCATGTTGGCGAGTCGTATAGAGTGCAGCCGCACATGTCGGACGGACAGAGAAGTTGCACAAGGTGTAGGTCTCGGGTAGTCAGACGACACAGGTCGAGTGTCGATAGTCCACCACTCTCAGCAGGATACGATTCGGCCAAGAAGGGGTGTTGGTAGTTGCGATGGGCTGAAGAGGGCTTCAAATCGTGAAGCGAAGAGTCTTTGATGGAGTGCGATCATGGAGCGACAGACGTGGGCGTAGAGGACATTGGAGACTCATCTGATATTGCTGATATATATAGTACATCCTGGAGCGCGATGTGAAGTATTGAGGCTTTTCGTGTTTACGCATTCATCGTTCGGAGTGAAGTCTGCCACGTTTGCCCCTTGATCGTTGTCGAATTCCAGGTTGTAATTCACGCGTGGCGCGATCACTGTTCTTTGGGATCCTTCTTGTCAAGCAAGTCAACCACACGCTTTTCTTCGGCATCGGCGTCCTCCTGAGCCTGGTTCTTGATTTGTTGCATGAGCTCGTACAGCTGACCAATTTGTTGATCTGTGATCCAGTCAGTAGGCAACGTTTACACTAGTTGGTAAACCTACCGCTCATCTTGTCAATTTTTGCTTTGTCCATCTTGGCTTCCTTCCATGAATCTCCTTCGAGCATTTGACAATATGTTTGCCATTCCGATAAAAATCCGATCTGTTCATGTCAGAAACTGTGACGTTGCAAAGCCACTACCCTGGATTGATCGCAACTCACTATTTGTACGGGATTTTCGATGTCCCTGTGCGCTCTGAACTCGGCCTTGACGTACATGTCACCAAGTAGTCGCTCTTCCACGCCCAGCCTTTTCCTATGTGAGCGTAGCAGGCGACGGTAAAGCGGTATTGGCGGCAACAAGGCAGCAGGTGCCGGCCTAAAGGGCCTAGATGCGCCTGCATCTGTCGCTGTAGCTAGCAATCTCGTGTAGGCTCTCATATTGGCACAAGAACTGGATGAAGATTCAAAATGTTGCGACAGAGGAACTGTGATGCATTCAGGAAGTGATGACCTCAGCCTCGGCTCTACTTTAGACTAGGGTGCTCCTTCCACTCCAATTGGCCCACACCGACAACTCCGATCTCGAAACAAAATCGCAACCATGCTGCCAACACCGTCCACATCCCACGTCTGTTTTGATCGCGTGTACGAACCAGCCGAAGACTCATATCTGTTACTCGATACGCTCTCATCTGCGTCGGAAACCGCATACCTGAAAGAGCGATTTGGCGATGCTTCAACGACCCCGCCATTGGTGCTTGAAGTGGGCGTAGGATCAGGCGTCGTATTAGCCTTCGTCGCTGCGAATGCAAGCACCATATTCAGTCGCCACGATGTGCTGACACTCGGGGTTGATATAAACAGCTTCGCCTGCAAAGCTGCTTCTCAAACAGTCCGCGATGCCATCAGAGAGCGGGAGAATGGACGCTCGGTCTTCATCGATGTCGTGAACGGCGACTTAGCAAGTGCTATCCGACCGCACTCTGTCGATGTCTTCATATTCAATCCACCATATGTCCCAGCTGAGTTGCCCGATCTGACGAGCCACGACAAGTACAACACTGTGCCGGAAGGAAAGACAGCGACGTCATTCGAACAGGACTCGTACCTTCTAGAGCTGTCGTACGCCGGAGGCGAGGATGGCATGGTGGTAACCGATAGAATGTTGGAGCAGCTACCGGAACTATTGAACTCGGATCGAGGTGTCGCATATGTGCTATTGTGCGCGCAGAACAAGCCGGAAGCTGTCAAACAGCGGATAAGAGATTGGGGTCCGGGTTGGATGGCGGAGACGGTAGGATCGAGCGGAAAGAAGGCGGGTTGGGAAAAGTTGGTGATCGTAAGAATCTGGCGAGACACAGAGTGAGGAGGAAGCTGTGCCTGGCACCAAGAACGCGAGTGGACTTGGTTCAACTGAGGGTTGAAGCGTGGGCAGCGAACCTTGCGTCCATCTCGACCAGAGTTGACCTTCGATCAGGATAGTGATTGTGGTGGGCCGACTTGACCACTCGATTTTGGTAAGGCAGGAGAGCGAGCGTCAGCCTTCGTTATTTTGGCGTCTTCTTGTCGTCCAGGTCAAAAGCCTTCGCGACGAGCAGCGATAGTTCGGTAGTGGTAACACGCTTGATCTCCCAGACGTTTGGCTTCCAGAGGAAGGCTTCGGTTTCGGTGCGTTCAACACAGTGATCAGCCTCAGCAGCTGTTGTTACTTTGCGCGTGGCCGTTGTTGTGATGGATGAGATACAGTGGAGATAATCCTGGCCAGCTGGAGGAAGAGTGGAGTAGGGTTGGGAGTTGACGCAGGAGTGTATGGGTAGATAAAGAAACCGAGCTCCCGGAGGAGGTGTTGTTGCGCGATATGTTGTCAAGATCAACAAAGCCAAATAGTAGCACATACATCGTTTAATACGATTTCGTGTCACATCAGGACATATCATACATATTCTTATACACAACTATACGTGAGATTGCCCGTTCCCCAGCGCCCTGACTGCGAAACACTACCAGAACTTGACGTTCTTCTGGTACCAATAACTCCAGCTCTTTCTCCTCTCGTCTTCTGCCTTCCGCTCCATTTCCAGTCGATCTTGCTCTTCCCTCGCCCTCCGCCGAGCCTCCTTCTTTGCCTCAATACTCGCACGCTTCTTCTCCATGAGCTCTTGTGCTTGTTTTATGCCGGCCTTTTCCTTGGATCGGTAGTACTGGCATACTTGGTAGGACACGACGGAGACGCCACACCAGGTTGCTACGGCCCAGTTGGAGGATGTGATGACGGGCTCTATGGTGCTGTCAGTACATTGCCCTAGAGTGCAATCTAGGGGTTTCTTGTCACGTACTCCCTATTATAGCGGCCAAACTTCCTCCTGCAAAGCCAGCTGCTAGTCCTTGCAATTGACTGTCTCGTACGCAAGGGCGTTTGTGAAAGTTCAAGTAGTACTCCGGCCCAAGACTTCGTACTGCGTCGATATATGTAGGGCCGCCATCTGATGTCTTTTCTCCGCCTGCTGTATGCGCTGTGCCTCCGGGCATAGTGTTTGCCGGCGCGCGGGGCTTTGGCGGCAGCGCATTCAAATCGACGGTATTCCGCGTATCGTCGGCCATGGTGGTGTGATGGGTGGGTTACTGGAGGACGGCGGGGAGGCAAAATTCGCGCGCGTTGTCTCTACTGGAGATTCGAGGAGAGTTTTCGTAGTCGTGGTTGCTGGTTGCTGGTATTCCGACTGTGGTAGGGTGAGTCGCAGTTGGTTCACTTTCTCAGGATGCGGAATAGGCCCGAAAATATGCAGCATGTATGATCCCACGAGATCGGGGACAGGGTGTGGCTGTGCGCAGCCACACCAAAATCAATTTGCCCAGACGGGGAAAGCGCAAAACACGCTCGCGCGCGTCGCGTCCAGCATTTGCCGATCCACCCTTTAGGACTGCGAGACCCTCGACAAGACACTCCCACCGCCAATTGTCGATACCCCGTCTTTTCGCTCTTTCACTGTCCCAATGATACCCTGACCTGCATACTTAGCATTTAATACTCTTTTACCTTCTGCCACCATACACCATGGCGCCACGACGCGCAGGTCAGCCCTTCCGCCGGGTGGGCAAGTTGGGCAACACATCCTACGGCCCACGGAAACCCAAGACGGTCGATGCCTCGTCACTCCGCAGCGGCGAGGGCACCTCGCAAAACGAGAAACTCGAATCCACGCGCCTCGCCCACCGCATCGATGAGACTATGGGCTTCGCACGCTTCGACTCGGGCAAGAAGAAAGTGGGATGGCTCGTCAACATGCATTCGACAACAATAGAAGACGAGGACGTACCAGGTGGCAGAGCCGGCGTAGACTTCTACTTCATTGGCGACGAAGGCGACACATTTAAAGCGACGCTCGAATACGACCCATACTTTCTGCTGGCGATCAAGAAGGGCAGGGAACAAGACGTGGAAGAATACTGCAAGAAATCGTACGAGGGCTTGATCAAGTCGATCAAGACGGTCGAGAAGGAGGATCTGAGCATGCCAAATCATCTGACAGGATACCGGAGAAAGTTCTTGCAACTCACATTCGCCAACGTGAACGACCTCTTGGCTGTCAGGAAAGCGGTCGCACCAGTGGTAGAGAAGAACAAGAAGAACGTCAATGCGATGGATACATATGCCGAGGTTGCAAAGTGAGCCCAGCTCGTCCCCTCTGCGTATGCAATGGCTAACACCCACACAGTGGCAACGGCGCATTTGACTTTTTTGATAACGACGAGTACGAATACGAGAAACGATTTACGACCACCGTTGACGCGAGCGATTTCATTTTAGACATTCGGGAATACGATGTTCCCTACCACGTACGAGTGGCTATCGACAAGGACGTTCGGATCGGAAATTGGTACACTGTCGAGGCCAAGCATGGTGTAATAAGCATCAAGTGCATAGAGGACCGCCTTACACCAGCGGATCCCGTCGTCATGGCCTACGATATCGAAACAACAAAGCTCCCGCTGAAATTCCCCGACGCTGCTATCGATCAGATCATGATGATATCGTACATGATTGACGGTCAGGGATTCCTCATCACCAACCGCGAAATCGTATCGGAAGATATTTCAGACTTTGAGTACACGCCAAAACCAGAATACCAGGGTCCATTCATGATATTCAACGAGCCGGACGAGAAGGCAGTGCTGGAACGTTTCTTCGAACACATCAAAGAAGCGAAGCCGACGGTCATGGTCACCTACAACGGAGACTTCTTCGATTGGCCGTTCGTTGAAGCAAGAGCTAGCGTACAGGGTATCGACATGTATCAAGAGATTGGGTTCAGGAAGAATAGCGAGGACATCTACCAGTCAGACTATTGTGCGCATATGGATGCCTTCTCTTGGGTCAGTCGAGACAGTTACCTACCTCAAGGAAGTCGTGGTCTGAAGGCTGTTACTATGGCTAAGCTTGGATACGACCCCGATGAGCTCGATCCAGAACTCATGACACCTTATGCAGCTGAACGACCGCAAACGCTTGCAGAGTACTCTGTCTCTGACGCTGTCGCGACTTACTACTTGTACATGAAGTATGTGCACCCATTCATCTTCGCTTTGTGCAAGATCCTACCACTCGGACCAGACGACGCGCTGCGCAAGGGTACAGGTACCCTTTGCGAGATGCTTTTGATGGTGCAGGCATACCAGAAAGGCATCGTCCTACCGAACAAGCATCAGGCGCCGAAGGAAGCTTTCTGGGAAGGTCATCTTTTGGAGTCCGAGACTTATGTTGGTGGTCACGTCGAAGCGCTGGAAGCTGGCGTGTTCCGAAGCGACATCGCATATAATTTCGCTGTCGACCCTACGGCTATTGATGAGCTGCTCCACGATCTCGATGCAGCGCTGAAGTTCAGCATCGAGGTTGAAGAAAAGAAGAAGATGGAGGACGTCGTCAACTACGATGAGATCAAGGCCGAGATCGTTGAGAAGCTCATGCAGCTCAAAACTACACCGAATCGTAACGAGCGACCCCTCATCTACCATTTGGACGTTGCGTCTATGTATCCGAACATCATGACAACTAATCGTTTACAACCCGATTCCATGATTGACGAGTCAAATTGCGCGGCTTGCGACTTCAACCGCCCAGGAAAGACGTGCGATCGCCGAATGCCATGGGCTTGGAGAGGTGAGTACCTCCCAGCTAAACGTGACGAATACAACATGGTCCGAAATGCTTTGGAAAACGAGCAATTCCCTGGGAGATTTCCCAATTCGCCAAAGAGAACATTTCAAGAACTGTCGGAAGACGAACAGGCTACTCTGATTAGGAAGCGTCTGACCGACTACTCCAAGAAGATCTACCACAAGGTTCACGATGCTACGACAATCGAGCGAGAGGCCATCATCTGTCAGCGTGAGAATCCATTCTACGTTGACACCGTCAGTGGCTTCCGTGACCGACGTTACGATTTCAAGGGCAAACAGAAGGTCTGGAAGGGCAAGACGGAAGCACTCAAGGCAGCCGGCGCTCCTGCTACCGAAGTTGAGGATGCAAAGAAGATGATTGTTCTGTTTGACTCTATGCAGTTGGCTCACAAGGTCATTCTCAACTCCTTTTACGGATACGTCATGCGAAAAGGATCCCGTTGGTACTCCCTCGAGATGGCCGGTGTCACTTGCTTGACTGGTGCCCGCATCATCCAATTGGCCCGCTCTCTAGTCGAGCGCATTGGACGACCCCTGGAGCTTGACACCGACGGTATCTGGGCTATTCTACCAGCGACCTTTCCGGAAAACTTTGCTTTCAAACTCAGCAACGGCAAGAAGCTGACGATCTCGTATCCTTGCACGATGTTGAACCACTTGGTCCACGCGCAGTACACCAACCACCAGTACGAGACACTGGTAGACCCAGAAACCTTCCGGTACGAGAAGCATAGCGACAACTCCATCTTCTTCGAAGTCGATGGGCCGTACAAGGCCATGATCTTGCCGACATCGAAGGAAGAGGATAAGAACTTAAAGAAGCGTTATGCTGTGTTCAACCACGACGGTAGCTTGGCGGAACTGAAGGGTTTTGAGGTGAAGCGTCGTGGTGAGCTAAAGCTCATCAAGAATTTCCAGGCTCAGATCTTCAAGTTCTTCTTGGAAGGTACAACACTGGAAGAAACGTATGGAGCCGTCGCGAAGGTCGCCAACCGATGGCTCGATATTCTCGACACTCGTGGAGCGACACTGGCAGATGAAGAGCTCATCGATCTCATTGTGGAGAACAAGAGTATGACGAAGACGTTGGAGGAGTATGGAGCGCAGAAGTCTACTGCTATCACAACTGCCAAACGTCTCGCTGAGTTTTTGGGCGAACAGATGGTGAAAGACAAGGGTCTAAACTGCAAGTACATCATCTCCAAGACGCCCAGGAACGCTCCCGTCACTGAACGTGCCGTTCCTTTGGCGATCTTTTCGGCAGAGGAAACTGTCAAAAGGTACTTCTTGAGGAAATGGTTGCGAGACGATCCTGGAGAGATGGACCTTCGTTCTATCCTTGACTGGGATTATTACCGCGAACGTCTGGCATCTGTCATCCAAAAGCTCATTACCATCCCTGCAGCATACCAGAAAGTCCGAAACCCCGTTCCCAGGGTGCCGCATCCTGACTGGCTTGACCGCAGGATCCGTCAGAAGGAGGACAAGCTCCAACAGACAAAGATGACGGATATGTTCAGCAAAAAGGTGTTAACCGACGGCGACGCCAACGTTGCGAACAACAAGCTGTCTGGGGATTTCGAAGACTTCGGCTCTGCAAAGCTAACGCAGAATCAATCCCAGATGAAGAAGGGCATAGTCACTAAGATGGTGGCGAAGCGCAAGGAGCCCGAGCCTGCAGTACCTATTGTCGACCCATACGCCGCACTTCCCAAAGTCATCCCAAGCATCGATAAGGACTATTCCGGATGGTTGATGTACCAGAAACAGAAGTGGAAGATTCAGCGAGAAGCACGGAAGCGCAGACGACAACTGTTCGGAGAGAAGGCTGTTGATGCGTCCGATGCGATCGGTAGCTTTTTCAGGAACCAGGCTCAATCTTTGTACATCAGTACATGGCAGCTTGTTCAGCTGCGACCGACCGAGACGCCAGGCGAGGTCAGAGCTTTCGTTCTGATCGACAAGAAGATACACGCCCTCAAGATCATCGTGCCTCGACAATTGTATCTGAACCTGAGGAGTGAAGATCTTCCAGATGTCTCGATTAGTGGGTGCTCTGTGGAGAAGGTCGTCAACCATTCTCTGCCGAACGGGCATCCATCGATCCATCTGTTCAAGCTCCAGATGTCGGAAGAGACATACGTCCAGGAAGCAAACAGTATTTCAGCATTGTTCAACCATTCCAGTGTCGAAGGCGTATACGAGAAGCATGTGCCACTCAATATACGAGCCATACTTGAGCTGGGTAGTACCTGCACATTCGACGAGTCGCAGAAGGGTGTGCTCGGAAAGGGTCTTGAACAAGGTTTCGATCTGTCGGCACTGCGAAAGGTGCCGACAAAAGAGCCATACCTGGCTGAGGCACCGTTCAACTATCTATACCTCTATCACGTCAGCAGCGGAGACCGCAACATCTACGGTAT